TTGCACTGTAGCTTCGCTGTGACATGTACTTTCCTATTTTATTCGATTTTAGCTTATTATTATCTTCCAGTTTACTTTGTGGTTTTAAATCTTTTGTATATGTGCCTTTTTATGTCCCCTTTTTATATCGAATGCAACTTTGAATCAATTTGTTGTTAATAGACACAAACAAACTTGCTTGACCTTGTCTTCCTACCCTCAGGGTCTCGAGGTTTCCTCTAAAGAAGTTGGAGTTGGTAATCTAGAGACCAGTGACTCCGGCGTTGGCTTTAACACTGCTCTCCCCCTGGACACTGACACTGAGGCCCCTGATCAAATCCCTGACTCTGAGGCTGTAAGCATTTCTATTGCTCCTGAAACCAAACCAAGTCCTCCGCCTGCTGCCGAATCCAAGCCAAGTGCTCCACCAGCTGTGGAAATTAAGCCCAGTCCTGTACCTGAAACTAAAGTGACCCCAGTCCCGGAGACCAAGAAAACTCCTGATAAACCTGTGGAGGAAAAGTTGGATGTGCCCAAAGGAGCAGCTGTTAAACCTAGTCCAGCCCCAAGCCCAGAACCCAAGGCCGATAAAAAACCTGCGCCCAGCCCAAGCCCAGAGCCTAAACCAGCTGTTCCCAAAGCCACCACTCCAACACCTGATAGTAAGAGTGCCCTTACTCCCACCCCTGAGCACCCCAAGCCAACCACACCAGAACCAATTACCAACGGCACGCCCGAACCTGGACCGGATTCCAAACTGAGCCCGGATCACGCCGATATTATCAAAGGCTCAGCTCCAAAAGCAGTCGCTCCTAAAACCCCTGAAGTGGAGCTGAAAGCTAGTGGTGCCATATTGGAGGTGGGCAAAGATGGCACGGTAGCTGAGGATTCAACTACTACCACCTGAGAAGTGCAAAAACACAAAGGAAGCCCCACAGATCTTGTCCACTGCTCACCACTACTGTAGACAATCGAACACCCCTTACCAAATGATGAGGAAACCACTGCAGCTGGGGCGAGGACCTCGATTTAACATGTCTAATGCCTGAACACAGTATTACCTTGATAATCTCACTTATCTGTAACTAACACTTAAACCTTTGAGACTTTCTGGCTCAGAAACACTTCACATAACATGGCTTTTGATTGTTAAACATTTTAGTTGTACACGCCTCGCAGCCTTGTTTTTCTGTTCATTTTTAAAGTTAAACTGCCAAACTGCAAGTTCAATCCTTTGCAGAGTTTACAACTAAAATGTTTACTCCACATGAGGTCTTTTTCTAAAGTATCCTGAAAGGTTTACGACATTTCATTGAAACAGCTCACCACAACAGCTTATTTGACCCTAACTAACCATCATTTCCCATTTCGACGCTTGTTCCTCTAGCAGCACATGAACAGCACATGGATGAAGCCGATAAAATCTTTCAGCTGGTGTCATCTTAAGCCTCCTAAAATATGTGATGGCACCGATATCATCTAAATGAACTAAAAACCCCATCAGATCACACTGCTGGTGAAGTTTTATACATAGCTCAATTTTGGATTTCATTCACTTGAGCCAGTCCTCTAGAAACATCCGCAGTGCATTATCAGATTAACCACACACTTATACTAAAAATACTAACCACATTATTTCTAGTCTTTGAGATTGAGATTCACACTCCCAGTGGAAATTTCAGACGATTAAATTGTGTTTTGCGGGCTGATCCCCCAAGTCCGGATCATCCACTTTATTGTCTTTGATCTGGATTTCCCCATAGCTCCATAAAAATCCCAGCACTCTTACAATTTAATGGGAAACTCACAACAGCTAAAACTTCCAGCAGCTTAAAGGGACCCCCCCGTGCCTGCAGTATGAAATATAAAATCAAAGTGTGTGGTAAGTTCACATAGTTAGAGCATGATTCTTTTGCTCTTTTTCTGCCGTTATCACCACCTTCTTTTTTTCTTTGCCCCTGTTCATTCTTCTTTTTTTGTTACTACGACCACCAAGGAGGCTATATGACTGATTTGGTTGATTGATTAATTTACAAAAGGTATTAGTGGATTCATGTGACAGTTTTAAAAGAGCTGGGCTTGGTCCGTCTTAGAAGTGATCAGTTATTGAATGTCATCCAAATCTGGATCCAGGGACTTTTGAAAAAACAAATTCCTCAGCATTTTTTGTATTTCACCCCATATCGTCACAAATGAAAACTGCGAGACTAATTCGGAGATAATCATGCATTATGTAGAGGGGATTTTAGCCTCAGTGGAGGTCTTTCACTTCTCCTTCCTTTCTTTATCCTCACGCCCCTTTCTTCTTCTCCCTCATTCTGCTTTCATTTGCTTGCTTTCGTTTTTGCTCGCTTACATAAATGCTGTAAAACTTGGCAGAAACTAAATATTTATGCCTCACTGGCTTCAAAAACCAGCAGTATGGAGCCTTCACCAAATCCATGACACTGTCTGTGTTGAGCTGACCTGGTATTCAGGATGTCCAGTCAATGCAATTTCAGCTGAAACTCTTTTGGTACTTATGGTAAAGAGGAGGTGTGCAGGTTCGTTTTAATGTGCACGTCCCTACTTCATGTTTTAACTGACCAGTGGCAAACCAGTAACTGTCAGTGTTTGATGTACACACTGACAGTGTGTACATCAAAAAAAGCATGTTGGATCAAATGGTCAGAGGAATGTAGGGAAACTAAAAGTAGATCCGTATACAGTCAGCTGGCCTTTCTTTATAGCTTTCCTTACTAAAAGAGTTTTCTTATGAGTAAATGAATAAGGGGTGTTTTGTCAGCATCTGAAAAAGCCATAAAATGAGCTCGATTTAGATGTCAGATTTGATACCAAGAGCAACAGAATAAATAAACTAAAATTACAAAAAATACAAAATACAAAAATACAAAAATAAACTCAAGGTGCCTCAGCATTAGATGGGTTAACAGTGTCAATAAGTCAGATGTATTACACATGGACAAAGGTCTTTTAATGTAATATGTGTACAAAGACGTATACGCCTGCTCTCCAGCCTGCATCTGTGTGGGAACCACAACGCTATTTGGCAGTACTAACAAAGCTCTTCATATAAATACACACAGATACAGACACACACATGTAAAACACAAACATGGACTCCAGCCTTGTAAATACTGCATGTGTATGCAAGTGTAACCCCTCCCCACCATGAGGCTGAATGTTTTTAATGTGTCATACTTAATATTAAAAAAGAAAATCATTTAAATTTCTCTACAAACTTCAATCTAATATATAAATATATATATATAATTATATAAATATACACACACACACTATATATACTAATATTCACTAATGTATTGAACTAAATCAACTTCCAAATATTGTAAATTCCCATCGAGACTGTATTAGCCTATTTTAGACCAGTTATTATCCGCTGCTGTCAGCACACCGTATCTCTCACACTATTTACATATTAATAATGTTTAACCAGTGTCATTTACAGCATTGACTGCAGCATGCCCACGGCACGTTCCGCTTCTATCGTCCAGACGTTGTGTCAGTGTGCGCGAATACAGGAGTGGTGTTTTTAATGTCGCCATCGTTGTGTGCGTTTTAAAGTCCGTATGCCTATGATGCACGTATCTATAAGTGTGCGTGTGATATATGAGCGAGTGTGTGCTGAATCTATGCACAGGGAGTTTGTACAGAAATGAAACTCTTATGTGTGCTTCTCCATTTGTTGTGAGCAAAGTATCTATGTGCCTGCTTCAGTCGTCTTGCAGTGTGAAGAGAAAAAAACAAAAAGTGCAGTGTTTTAAATCATGAGTGTGAATGTGATGGAAGCCACAAGAATATTGTAAAAACGTATTGTAACTCTGAGATATTCAAGTGACTCTTTGTCTTTGTTTTAGTGCCTAAAATGTATATTGGATAGTTGGCCTGTGCTCTGTCGTTAGCCGCATTCTAATGGCACCTTTTTAGTGAGGAGGATGTTCACTGATCCAGAATATGCAGTTTGCACACCTGAATGAACAAAGCAAAAATTGCCGGCTAACCTACGATGTGTTAATGTGAAAGAAATGTGTGTGATCAAAGTGATTAGAGCCTGACCGACATATCACCAGAAAGATTTTTCTTCAGTATTACTCAAAATCTGTGACTGAGTCATAAAATCAGCAGGAAAGTGTTTACAGAGGTCAACCCAGAAAGCTGTTTTCAACCACAGCTATCAGCATCTGGTAGCCTTCTGGTAAATAACAGATTCAAGGATCAACGTTCAGAACGCAAAAAGAAAAAAGCATTTTTAAATCACCAAGTATTGCTTCCGGTCTTTAAACTCTTTTGTTGGTTGGGCTCTAAAAGTGATGAAAAGAGTCTGATTTAATTGTAGGCAGCATACAAGCAAAGCATGTTTCCATTAACAGTGTCTATGGGTTAGTTTGGAGTTTGTGAGTGAGTTCATGATAGCAGCAGATGAATGACAAAGCTTTGTGTGGGTTTGGGTTATGTTGTTGTGAGTGGTTAATGAGAGGTGGCTAAAACTGCATTTCCACACAACGCCACTACTGTGTGCTGTCAGTGATTGCAATAGAAAGCCACTTAGAGTGAGTATGAGTGTGAGAGAGGCAGACGGTGAGTGGAAGGAAGAGTTATTACAGCTAATTGGTGCCAGAGGGATTGTGGTTTCATACCCACCTCTGATTAGAGAAAACCCCCACCACTTTTAAGACCACTGGTACTCCTTGCACTATGTGAGTTGTCTCTGCTCTGATCCTCTCTAATTCCTGCTCCTGGCCTGGTTGTGGTGTGATGTCTCACATGGTCTCTCTCTCTCTCTCTCTGTACTCCCTTTTTGCACAACACTTCACACAGATGTTTTGTAAAGACAATATCTTTATTTCATGTCTAAAGGAATACTAAGAATAAACAAAAGATTATGACATCTGCTGCCTTGCTGTCTTAGTTTTTCTTTCTCTGCAATTAACAACCTTTCAGAAGGACAGTGCCGTCTCAGGGCTATCCCACCAAGCGGAGATCTCACACAATGCCAGCCGTGATTTGTTGTGGGGAACACATGTCACTTTCTGACCACATTAATCCCCTCTGGTGCGTTTTGAGCTTCCATAGCTGCCCCAGGACACAGGACACAGAGCTATTTATATGTAGGCCAAAGGTAAGAACATCACAGCTCTGTTTACACCTGCTGTGGATCCTAAAGCTCCAGATTGGCTGCAAATGACAACCTTAAAGAGTGAAGGAAAGTTACAGAAGCAGTGACCTGTGTTTATTTCATAAACTGAGTTTTTCCATTTATACCCTCTTTTACCAGGAAATAAGTGCATAATCAATGAGAGGGACTCTCTTCTTAAAATGAGAGACACAATAGAATCACTGTAGCAACTATTAATTTTATTTTTGACTCATCTAGCTATTATACTTTTGAGTAAGATGTTAAGTAATCCAGTTGGAGAGGTGCTTCAAAAATGAAAAATCATGGTGAAATCATTGGCAATTAATTCTGCAAATGTCTTAATGTTCGGTTCCAGCTGAACAGCTTCTTATAGGGAAGGGATAAAGATGTTCAGTGGTGCCATATTCTTTCCATAATCTGTGTCACATGGGTTGTAGAAGGGAAACAGAGGAACCTCCACAGTGCCCATGGAGAAGGTGTAGATTGGTGCCATGGTAAGGGCATTATAAAAAGTCACCTCCTCCTTTTCACAGTCCAAGAACACGCCAATGCGGACGAGGCAGAGCGACACCTTGATCTTTATCGGGTCTGGGTCAATGCAGGCTAGGATAGAGCCGCTCTTCAGTGCCAAGGTCCACAGGCCGTTGGAGGTGCCTGTGGCAGACATCTCCCCTCTTGGGACGTCTTCTCTTGCCACACCCAGCCTCCACGCCGTCTTGCTCCCAACCTCGACCTCCCAGTAGTGTCGCCCTGTGGTGAAGCCCTCACGGCCCAGCAAGCAGTAGTAATAGTGAAACTGCCGCGGGTTGGCCTGGAAGTCTTTTGTGTCTTTATCCTCATCGAACCAAACTGAAGTGCAGGACTGGGAGAGAGTCAGATTCGGGTGTGCTGTTTCAGGGTCAAAGGTCACTGATGTAATATCTAGAAACAGAAACAGATTGAGGACAGTGACTGATGCTGCTTATTCACATGTGTATTGCATCGAATGAATGATGCTGTATGGAAATACTTGGGTAGAGGCAGCTTTTCATGTGTTTCCATATTCTGTACTGGATGGGACCGACAAACTGGCCAGAGCGAACCTCTGTGTCCACCTCCGCTGGGAGAACAAAGCTGACCTGAGATCTGTTAGGACACAGAGGGAAGGACTAAATGGTAGGAGGTCCATCTGTAAGACAGTCTCACAGATGCTAAACGTCCATACACACAGGATAAATGAGTTAAGAGGCAATGTCAAGATTCAGATTATTTACTAAAGTCATGCTACTGAGAAAACGTACCTTTTAATGAGATCTTGAATTTCCTACAAGAAAAGAATTCAGCCTTGATTAGTTAAAACAACATAACAGAGCACTTTTCTCATAGAAAGCTTTGTATTTGGACACGGGTCTGCTGTTTGGGCTTTTGTTTTCTAAATGAGAAACTGCTTTTTAATCAAATCAATCGAATCTAATGTAATACTTATTGATCAAATAAGTGCCAGTAAAGTGGTGTTGTGTAAGGGTGGCCCTTTGTAAACATGCATGCTCTAACTGTGAAAGTGTTTAAAGAGGATGAACAATTATAGAAAGTTATTTTTACTCTAAGGCGAGTGTGTCAAAGGAGCAGGGTGGAAAACAGTGGCTCTAGATAAAGCACTGTATTGCTGCTGCTCCTCACCACACACATAAACCCTGCCTATCAACACACCACAGCTTTGCAGAGTATAGTTAGAGTCAAGTTCATAAAAGCCCAAGTTTAATTAACAATCACACGTCGTGTCTTCTTATTCAGTGACACTCTTCCTCACTTTGATCAGCTTAGGACTGTCCTCCTCAGTCAGCTTGTTGTTGAGCACTGCGATGGCTTTTTCCAGGTCTCGCCCTTGCCCCGCTATCTTCTTCTCTCTCTCCTTCAGCTGTTTCAGTTGCTTCTGTCTCTCCCTCCTCAGTCGCTCCAGGTCCCTCCACTCCTCCTCATCCAGGAAGCGGTGGAGGTTCTGAAACTCTGCTCTGATTTCCCTTTCTAGGTCATCAAACCTGTTCTGAAAGATAAATCAGGGAAAATGGAAAGGAAGAAATTTAGTATGTAGGTCAAACTGAAGGGTTTCTGTGTTTAACCAATGCTGGCTTCAGCACACTCAATTAGTCTGCAATAAACTGAAATAATTGTGTGTAAAAAGAGATAAAAGATAATGAATAAGGCGGGGATGGTACCTCTACTTCCACTGATTCTATGTATGTCTCTCTTTCTGCTTCTCTGCACTCATCTACCTCATGCTTGATTCTTTTAATAGCCTGGATGAGCTTTTCCTGTAACACACACACACACAAAGGAGACATAACCTTGCAGATAAAATACAAAGAGAACAGGAATCCTACTGCAAACAGTTTAAAAAAACAGGAAGCTAAAAATAAAGAATGTTCAAGAGGTAATGTATCTGCTCTCAACTGTTCCAAACACAGCAGCAGGTGGAAACCATAGAACTCGAAGCTTACCTTTTGACCACAGAGAAGGCTTTTTTGGCAGTTGTTGTTGGTGTCTTTAGCGTGGTTTTGGTACATTCCAGGTTTCTGTGTATAGGACAGAGCAGGAACAAAAAGACCTCTGTGAAATTGAAATAAGAGCGAAAGACGGCGTTAGAAGGAGAGAAACAAAATTAATGACATACAGCACAAACACATCAATATGGGGAGGGAGAGCAAAGGAGCGAGAGAGGGAAAACACACATGCCAGTACAACGAGAACAACAGTGAGATACAGTCAGACTATTAGAGCAACGAGGACGTACATCCAAGCAGAAAATTAACAAGAGGAAACGTATTGACAAGCACAGATCAGCAGCCACAGCCTGACTCGAGAAAATATGGCTCCATTAAAAGTAAGGGAAGAAATGGAGGGGTGGGAGAGAGGCAGATGACTGGAGCTGCCAGGAGGGCTTGCTGGCTGGCTGGCTGGGTGGTTGGCAGCAGCGATTTATGGCAGCAGACACAGAGGAGTCTATTTCTGTCTGCCAGTGTCTTTGGAAACAACGAGAGGGGCGGCAAGTCAGTGAGATATTGTGTTTCATATTGGCAGTTGTTTTGCCTGGAAGGGAGACAGTGTGTGTTTATTTTTGCAAGGTGGCTCTCTGATATCTGCCTGATCTGGAAGGTGCATTAAAAGATGCTGTTTCGCTATCGGTGCCCTGCCGGGTTCTATATCGACTGCAAGGGGTGGCATCTTGAAATGTGCAGTCAGCGTTTCCCTGCCCTTGGAGAAACACTATCTGCGCCCACTGCTTCTTCTCACTTTCTGTCTTAAAAAAACAAATAAATAAATAAACCTCCCTCCAGCCTGTCCACTTATCCAAACTTTTTTATATATATATATATATATCTCTGTCTCACCCACACCCCATCAACTCCCCCACACACACTCAAGGGTCTGGCTGTGGGCTACGTGCACTGAAGCAGCATCTCTGCAAAATGTTCTTCATCTATAATTCATGGTGCTGGGTGCTGGCCAGTGACTGTGCTGAACTAAGGTTGAGCAGAAAATTCAGTGCACCGCAGCATGCGGCAGGTGGAGGGGACAGGGAGATTTAATAAAATGCAGAGTCTTGACGTGCATGCATGCTACGTAACTCTTGACTGAGGATAAAAGTAGCTGTAAAGCATTGCTGACTAGCAAATTTAGATATTTAGAATATAAAAGGATGTTTCATGAGCTTTGTGATCGATTCCTAATAAATCAGGTCTAGTTTCACAAACTATTGTGTTACAATACTAATACAGATAATGCTTAATACATAGAAAAAAACTACTACTAGTAATATATGTCTAATACTTTATACTAAAAGAAATAAAAGACATCTGATGCTTGCATTTGTTCATGTGGAACTTTTCTTTCTCTAAATGTGTATTTATAAAAGCTTGAAATCTGCACATATTTGATTTGGTATGGGTTTTACTCTGGATGACCTCCCTAACACAATCCTCCCAGGGATTTGCGTCTCCTCTTCGTGTTTATTTATACATTTAGAAAAATTTGAGAAGTTCCCACCATGCAGAAAACAAGGGAATAAACACACAAGAGAGCATACTATGTCAAACCCAAGTTTGGGACATCGGGCACAGAAAATTGCAGGGAGACATATCTAAGGGAGTTCAGCAGAACCCCAGTGCAAAAAGAGAGAGAGATGAGGAGGAACAATATGAGGAAATTTGATTTGCAAGAATTCACATTTGGATTACTCCTCGTAGGCCAGAGAGAAAGGTTCAGACTACGGGAGACTGGGCCAAGGTAAGCCCATATTTTGGTTTTCTGCCCTACACTGTTCCTTTCAGTGACTACATACTTTTATAAGTTGCAACCAGAAAGTTGATCCAAGTCTGCATAACAGGTCTTTAAAAATATGCACTTAAGAGGCTCAACTTAGTTCCCCAATGGGGCTGAAGTTTCCACTCCTGCAGATGGAAAATATTTTGTCATGGGCACAAATGTTTGAAGGACCTATGCAACTTGATTTTAATGGTCAGGGAGAGAATAGTTTTAGAGCACTGTGCAAACGTTGTGAGCCTAACTTCTCTATGTTTTGTGTAAAAACATGCAGACATAAATGGAAATTTGGAAACAAGAATTCTAATAAGCTTGATAATTAATATGCATGTAAAAAGGTATGACCACCTTTATTCTTCAGCACAGCCAGAACTCCCTGTAATTGAGAAGCCTTTTTGGATTAGTTTCCCTCTTCTTTAAGTTCATTCAGATCTCTTCTTTGGATGTTGCCTGCCTTTTATTCTACTCTTTGTCAAGATGATCCCACACTGTTTCAATAATGTTGAGGCCTGGTCTCTGGGGAGGCCAATCTCTGACTGATAGTGTTCCATTGTGTGCGTTTTTTTGTTTGTTTGTTTTTTTGCTTATGCTTTCAATGCGCTGGCAGTATGTTTGAAATCACTGTCATACTAAAAATTAAAGTAGTGTCAATTGAGATGTTTTCTAGATGATATTGAATGGCTATACTTTTCTGGATTCGTAATTTCCCAGATCCCAAACACCAGTAGTTGAAATGCAGTCCTGAAACATGACACAGCCTCCACTGTGGTTTACAGATGGCTGTAGATACTGTTTAGAGTGTCTACAGTCATACCTCTCTCAATTAGAACCAAAAGTTTCAGTTTGGATTCATCACTCTATAAGACCTGTTGCCCTGTTTACCTTCATTAAAATTGTCTTCTTGACAGCTGCCCTTCCACTGATAAGGCTTCAATGAATAGTGAATGGATCAGCTGAAGGTCCAGATGAGGATTATGCTAAAAAAAAAAGTGCTTTGAGTGCTCAAATTCATAGAGAAGCACCATTTATGTACCAGTCCATTTTAACAAACAAAAACACATTCCTTTGAGAATAGTCAGCTACAAGGACTGGACTGAAAATGAACTAAAACAAGGTAAAAGGAAGACTTTAGAGAAGATGCATGTGTGTAGTAAAGGAGGACATGCAGAGGGCTGGTGTGACAGAGGACGCAGGGAACAGGGTCAGATGGAGACAAGTGATCCGAAGTAGTGACCCATAAAGAGAACAGCTGGATGACGATGAAAAAGAAGAAGGGGATTTAAATATAAAATATTGTTGGGATTTTTAAAGTTGGTACTTCCACTCCTGCCCAGGAGGTGGCGGGAAAGCACCGAAATTGTGAATGTCAAACAACTGTAACAGCAGAAGAAGAAAGACGCACGAATACGACGTCAGATAGGTAAACAATAGCACGTCTCACGGCAGACTCAAGAGATAAATTAGCTTTAAATTCACCTGAGTCGTGCTAGCATATTTTGTAATAAGCCTTCGTAAACATTTGAACTGTTCGTGGCGCTCTAGCTATAGGTAGCAGGCTAGATATCGGAGCTAGCTGAAGGTACGGAGGCTGGTTCCGCTGGAAACGAAGAATGTGCTTTTACAGACACTACCTGCTATAAAACAATTACAGTTAATATCCACTGCTGCTAACAAACTGCAGATTTCATGGTTTAATTATTTGCATTTTAGACATGAACGGCCAAGCGGACGTGGAAGTCGACTACAAGCGGAAATACAAAAATCTCAAACGGAAATTAAAGTTTCTTGTCTATGTGAGTGTTTTCATTTTAAACCGTCCCGTTTCCTCTGCCGTGCTATAGTTGCGTGTCTGACTTTGCGCTGATTTCGTTTCGCTGGTTTCCTTTTCCAGGAGCAGGAGTGTTTTCAGGAGGAGCTGAGGAGAGCACAGAGGAAACTTCTGAAAGTTTCCAGGGACAAGAGGTTTGTGAGGATTGTGTCTTCATATAGGTATGCTTTGTGCATCCTAATGGAAATGCAAAAAATAATTTTCTATACATGTTTTCCAGCTTTCTTCTGGACAGATTGCTGCAGTATGAGCGAGTAGATGAAGACTCATCAGGTAGACTAGGAACATAAAACCTTTATGAGTAAAAACAAAAGCTGTTGCTTCTGAAGTCCTGTGGATCAATTTTGTCTTTGTTTTCATCATCAGATTCAGAAGCTACTGTTTCCTCGGAAAACAGTGAAGGGGAAGGACCCAGAGAGAGGGAAAGGGAACGAGAGGGAGCAAAGAAGTAAGTCGGCTATTTAAGTAAATAAATTACCAGGTAGATCAACCAGAATCATTCACTTTTGAGTAGGTTCATATTTAACCTTTTATTCCCACCCTCCACAGACGTCTTGTGCAATGCGAAGTTACCTGTTTACTTTGCATTGCACAACACTGTGTGTTATAAGTATTTATAGTAGTTGCATGCTCCATGAATCACTCATTTTATAGTTTGAGCCCAATGAATTCTGGTGTTGTCATCTTGGAATAAGCCAGTGTATTCAGGGAAGAAAAAATTCAGTGATGGAAAAATCCTGGGCATTCAGTATATTCCGGTAGTTAGCTGATCTCATTTTCGGACAAATAACACTACCAAACCAACCCTAGACAATCTGAAGCAACTACAGATCATAACACTGACCAACAGGTTCCCATCTGAAATCGGATAAATCTGGGATTATATGACCACATGATCTTTTTCCACTGCCCAAGATTCTAATCTTTATGCTCCCTAAACTGAAGCCTTTTCCCCCAATTAAACACCAAGTAGTTTTCTTAAGGCTATGTGTGGAAATACCCTGTCTTTCAGTATTAAACATAGCCATATTGTATGATTTGATCTACAGTCATTCAATCATCACCACTTCCAGGTTTAATGATGTATTGAACAGTTCTTAGCCCAATTTTTGTAGTTTCAGAGATCATCCGGAATGCCTGCAGACCATTAATTTGTCCCTTTTGAAATGTAGCTCCATAAATGAAGCGTGTGAATTACCACAGTAATTGTTGGTGGAAGGCTCTTTCCTATTCGAGGTGTTAAATCCAGGTGGTGACTGGATTTGGCCAGTCAGTTTATATTCAAGCATTAAATGATATTAAGGTACAGGTTAGAGTAGTGATTTCCCTTTGTTTAGTGTGAGTCTCTAGCCAACACTAATAAATCATAAAGTGAGTATTTTTACTGTTTTATAGTGGCTGAATGTTGTTTTTCTCTGTTTTCTTAACTGTGACTAGCTAGCACAAGAACGGTGTTTTCACAATTCTGTATGAGAAAAAAAAAATTCAGCATAATCTTTCTGTCACCCTGTCTCTGAGGGAGAAGGTGGCTTGCCCTCCCACTTAGTGACAGGGTGAGAAGTTCAGTCATTTGGGAGTACTAGGACTAGTAGCAGTGAAATGTTCCATGCATGTTCTACTGGGAGTAGGCCCTGGGGTAATCCCAGGACACCCTGTTCCACCGAGTGAGCTGGAGGAGGTGGCTGGGGAGAAGGAGGTTTGGCTTCTCTGCTGCCCCAATGTTCCGGCCCCGAATAATCAGCAGAAAATGGATGGATGGATATGCAATGAAGGCAGAAGGCGGGGGCATTTTAAAGCTAGGTTTATTTGGGCTTACTTTACATGTTCAAGCCAAGTAAGCCTGTTAGGAGAGTTGAGTGAAACATTTGTGCTTTCTAATTGTTAAACTAAACACATTCATATTTCTTTTTATTTAATCCATGACCTTCTTTTCAGGCGAAAAAGTAGTCCCGGTGCGTGCCTCCCTTCATCATCATCTCCTCATCTCTCCCTGCTTTCCCGTCCTGGTGTGAACTCCCTGCAGTCATCCGGCTCTGGGGCCTACCTCAACGCTGTGAGTTTCTCTTTCCCCTCTTATCTTATTGCAACCAACAACAATAACATTGCCGTCATATTCATCTTCTCATCAAAGAGCATAATCTGTTTTTTTAATTTTGCATTATTTTATTCACAAGTCTGTTCCTTGCTTTTTGTTTTTAGATTTATAATTGCTCCACTGTCTTTTTATTGTTCATTCTTCTGTGTATGTTTTGTTTGTTTTTCTGTGTGTGTGTCTTATAAACTGCCCTTTGACTGTGTGCATGCATGTTTGTGTGGTCATTTGACAATGATTTGGGGCCTGCGTGTGTGTTGGGCAGATGCCCTTCCCACCAGAGTATTTGGCTCCCCCAGCTGAACGAATGAAGAAAGAGAGAAAAACAAAGACGGCAAAAAACAAGAAAGAGACTACGGGGAAGGTGAGAGAGGAAGAGGGGAAACAAGATGTTCAGAGATAAAAATAATTATGATCAAACACTTCACGCTTTATTCTCACAAACTGTACACAAACCAGCTATTTATATTTGATGGCCCGGCAGGCTGTTTCCAGTATTCTCAATTTAGATGCATATTTATAACAAAGTAAAAAGCATCTAAAATATATATATTTCATAGTACAGTTTTTCATTTTTATTGCTCTAACAATGGCATTTCAAGACCCTTTTGTTGAGCCCCAAAATGAAAAAATATATGAGTGCATATACAGTTGTGATAAAAAGAAAGTGCACCCTCTGTCAATTGTAAGGTTTTACATATCAGGATATAATATTTAAAAAATGATCTGGTGTTAGGAGGTTTTAAATTGAGCTAAATACAACCTGAGATAAACAACACATGGTCTTTACCAAAAACATAAACTGCAGAAGCAGTTTGTGGAAAAACAAAGTGCGCCCAGTGACTCAGTAGCTTGTAGACCCACCTTTAGCACCAATAATTGGAAGTAATTTTTTTCTGTGTGACTTTATCAGTCTTCTTCAGTTCATTGACGGTTGTTGGCATTCATTTATGCACAGCTCTCTTAAGCATTCCAGTCAGGTTGAGGTCTGGACTTTGAGCCATCACACCTTGATTCTTTGCTTTTTCAGTAATTCTGTTTTAGAGTTGCTGCTGTGCGTGGGATCTTTGTCCTGTTGCAGAGTTAGCCAACAGATGATGTCACATTTGACTGTAGAATGCTTTGGTGTACACAGGAGCTTATGCTCCACTCTATGACTTCAAGGTGCCTGAATCCAGCGGCTGCAAAGCAAGCCAAGTCATCGTCCCTGCACCACTGCACCTGACACTTGATATGAGGTGTTTGTGCTGACAGGCTGTGTTTGGTTGTTTTATATTTTTTGCCATTTCTCTGAGCATTGTGTGTTAAGACCCACTCCTGTGAGGATTGGCAGCTGTCTTGAATGTTTTCCACTTGCGAATAATCCTTCTCACTGGAGAATGATGGGGCAGATTGTTTGGAAATGCCCTTGGGCAGCAACAGTTGCTTCTCTAAGATTGCTGATCATTGCTGATAGCTTGTGTTAACACACATCTGAATGCTCCAGATCAGAAAACTGCCAAATCGTCTGCTTTCATAAAGGTGCTCACATTTGCTGATTATCAATTAACCAAGTGCATTTGATTAGCAGCATCTGGCTGCTACCTACACTCCTAATGACACACTGTAATATGCAATTGTTACGGTTGTATTTACCTAATTTTAAGACCCACTAAGAACCAGGTGAATTTATTTATTTTTTATTCTATCCGGATACATAAAAGCTTAGATTTTAAGTAGAGTGTACTGTCTTTTTACCATGACTGTTCATGCTTTGTCCTGATTTACTCCGGTCATCTGTGACATTACCATCAATCCCCACTCATCATTCTTTTACACTCCGTCCATCCCTCGCTTTGTCGTTCCAAACAACAACTTCTTCTTTCTGATCTTCTTAGGTCGTTACTTCAATGGCAGCTAATTACCCATCAGGCCCTGCAGCTCCTCCAACAGCCAGTGGCCACTTCAGCTGGGTTCCTAGACAGATGTTTAGCGGAGATGCAGCTGAGGAGGAGGGCGAGAGCGACGGAGACAGTGACAGAGGAGACGAAGACAGAGGAGAGGGAGACGAGGCTGAACTCGTCATTGACATCCCTAATGAGTGAGCCTGAGTGTGCGATTAGATTTATTTATAAGTGAGGGAAATGTATATGTAAGGTTATGTAAGGTTGAAAAATAGAACAGGGTTCAATGTATTTCTGCATTGAACAAACAAGTCCACACTTTTGAAAGGAGGGTCAAGCTCCCCCTTGTGGACTTAAGCTTAACTGCAGCAGCGCTGTCCAAACAATATCATCAGTAGTGCGTTTGTGTAAAATTATGTCGGGTTATTGGTCTGTGACAAAAGTGCAGTCTGCAAAGGATTAAGAAAGATCTGGAATCACTGAGCTGGATGGATACTTTACTTTGTACAGCGGTTTCAAACTACCTGCTGATTATTTTTGTCAAAACATCCACACAAACTGAATACAACTAGGTGTGTCCTTTGTTTTTTTTTATTGCTTAACAGCTGTCTCTGACTTTGTATTGTAGAAGTGCTGCAGTCCTTTTAAAACTGTTCAACTGTGACATAAATGTGTGTGCAGCTTTACGTTTTGTTTACTTGTTACAGTTTTGACATTTCTCATTTGTACTCACAGTTTATTTCATCAAATCGGTCAAAAATTAAAGTGTTTCTTATGAATGGGTGTGTATAGTTTTTGTACCCATCCAACTGTGTGTCAGATTAAAATAATTTCAGCAGATTAAAAGTTTTTATTTAAACTTCACTTATGTGTGTGTGTTTGTGTGTGTGTTATTCACAGATTCCACCGATGCAGCTTTACTTAAACAGAAAGTGTTTATGTGTTTACCAAAATGCATTTGTAACATATTTTTTAAAGTGAAAGTGTTAAATTGCTCTTATGTTGTGGTTTATTGCCCCACCCTGAACTCACACCCTGAAACTCCCATTCCACAGCTCCACACAGACACTGAAGTAGGCAGTCCTCTTTGTACTGTGTTGCATTTTGCTTTTTTAAATATTTACAACACTAAAATACTGCGTAAACTTCATGTCCATGTCACTTACTGTGTATGACTGTCTTTGCTTGCTTGACCTCTTTGCAAGGAATCCTGATACCGTTGTTGACTGAAGCCCAAGGGTACATTTGGCTCATGTTGGCCATAACTTTTAAGCAATGTGAAGGGAGCGTGGCGCGACTCCAGCTCTTCATGACTAAAAGGGAGTGCAAGATATTTTTTTCCTTTGACTCTAGAGCTGTGGTATTGCATGCAGATTTCTGTTTTTGCGACATAATGATTTTGCAAAAAGCACTCAGTGCCAGCGTCATGCCTCAACAGGCACGGTTCTGATATTTAGGAGGGCAAATGTGCAAGCCATGAAAGGGAGTGTGTTCAGATTTCAAGAATCGCTGCACTCTGGGAGAGACAATGACCCGTGAAACTGTCGCTATCCAGATTTAGCTCTAATAAGGAGTTCATGAACAGACCCTGCTATATTTAGAGTTCACTTTCTCTCATTTATCTGGACTTTTAGGTGTGAAATTCTTCTTGATTTGGAAGCAGTTCAAAGCAAATATTTGATCTGATAGAGAGTCAGCACTTTAAGGTAAGCGCTTTACCTCACAACAAGAGTTTGTCAATCAAATAACCTTGCACAGAGACCATTGTTTAGGCATGCAGACATACAGGCAATTGACAGTCCTGAATAGGTGTGGGCTTTCCTTGTGTACTTAACAGAAATGGGAGTTAAAGGCGTAACCATAGAGAGTATGAGAAGGAGGGGTGAAGTGGAGGTACAGGCAGAGGGAGAGTCACAGAGGGTGGAACTGACAGAGGGGGGCGAGGCTGTCAGGAAAAGGGAAATGAAGGAGTAAGCAAGATTGTGCCTGCAAACACAGACTCACTCTCACAGAGTGCAGCTAACATTACCAGCGGACAGACATGGTTGCAGAGAAACTGGAGGAGGAAACAAGGAGCGAGTGAGGAAAACAACAAGCCATCAGCAGCCAACCTTGGCCACATTATCTTTCTCATCTATATACGGAAATCACTGGGTAATTTATAAGCCTCTCCCTCTCACTCTGTGTGTGTGTGTGTGTGAGAGGAGGGGGGGGGATCTGCTAAGCTCACCACCATCATGCTGTGTCCTGCTGCTGTCAGTGCAGCTGCTGCGGCTGTCTGCCTGCTGGCGGTGCTGGGCCTAGGTCTGTCTCTCCCAGCTGAGGACAACTCGGAGGCAGACTTCACCCTCTGCAGCAACTGCTTCTACAGACAGACGCCTCCTCGGGGATCCTCTGCAGGGCCGCTGCTGCGCCCACGCTGCCACAGGCTGCCGGGAGGGCAGGCGTTTGCCACTCTGTCCAGACCGACCTGTGACACAGCTGTCTACTCTGCCTTCCATCTCCGCCAGGGATGGACTGAGAGGGAGGGAGAGGAGGGGAGAGAACCTGTGGTAAGAGTACATCTATCACATTTCTTAAAGTAGAAGTGCTTAGTTTTAAAAGATTAAGTTATAAGTAAAGAAATGTGGTGGAAAGTAACTAAGTACATTGTGAGTGGTAACCACTCAATTTTCTAATAAAGAAAATTAAGTAAAAAACGCAGAAAATTGAGCCCTGCAAAAGATTGGTGGCGTGTCCAAGGTGTGCCCAGCCACCTGCCCTGTGACAGCTGGGATACGCTCTAGCCCAACCGTGACCCTGAATTGGATAAGCAGAAGAAAACGCAAGGCTGGATTTGATGGCCACCCCTTAAGAGGGGCCTGTAATGACTATTAACTCTTTGCAGTTGAAGTTTAGACAAATTTCATCTCTAAAAAACTTTCAGGTGTTTACATCTGAATACCAGCTCAGTGCTGAATTAATGAATTAATTAATATTTCACACAAAAAATAAATAAATTTGTAAAACAGGACGTTACTTCTCTACTCCTACAGAGAAAGGTCAAATCATCATCGGTATAGAAAACATGATTCATAGGAACATTTATGTACAGAATGCATTCTTACATATTACATATGTCTTACATATTGTTATTTAATAGTCAAACTAAATGAATGTTTTTATATCTAAATTTGAGCTGACACACTGGAATTAATCAAACATAACATTCAACCACTAAAATACATTTTTCTCTTCAGGAAGGCAAGTAAATAACTGCAATTTGGCATCAAAAATAATAACATGTTTCTATCTTTTTTCTGCTTTTTTGCAAAACAGTAAATTAGAGAATTTATGAATAACAACAATAATGATATTTTAGCATTTAGGAAACATAAGAAATTATTTTTACAATGCTGTTAATTTAGGACATCTGTGGCATAAACCTTATATTGGTTGGTGATCTAATAACTTTGTTAAGCACTCTACTTGGAATACTTTATCCCAGACAATGGAAATAATCTGGGATAATAATAAATAAGAAGTAGTAGTATAAGAATAAGTCTGGGGATAACTAAAGATTTTTAATGCAGAGCCTTTGAATAATACAAGTGTATTCAATATAAAATAAAACACCTATTTTTCAAACATTCAGCTCTCAGGTCAAACAAAAAGTTTTTTTTAATTAGGAAAGGAGTCTGATTATTTTTTCCACATTAAAAATAATTTGAAAATGGAGCTTAAAGAAAATGCAAACAATATAAATTTAAAAGATGGATTGGATCTTTATCACACTCATAATTATCAACACTGAACAGCTGGGCACACAGAAACAGGAATTAGAGATGTTTCTGTTATTGTTGTGTCCTTATATGGGAACATTTAAAAATCAGAGTGCATAGATCGAAGAGTTTGATGGACTCTTTCTTAAACTGCTGGTTTTGGTTCTTTTTCTGCCAGACAGAGCAGGAAGAAGACATTAAAGTGGCAGCACCAGCTCTTCTCAGAGGAGGTGTGGATCCATCTCATTCTTTCTCGCCCACAGACTCCCCTTTTCACCACTGGGATTCAACAGTCACAACACTGGTCCAGTCAAGCGTGTCTCCCCAGTGCAGCACTGTAGGGGGTGATCTCTACATCCTTACTGGAGCGGGAGGACTCGGGGCTGCTGAGGATGGAGACGAGGAGTGTCAGACGAAGCCGCTGTGGTCTGCGGCGTGCTGTGCTGTCCCGCAGGGGAAGGGTGGCTTCAGCGTTGGGTTAATCAGAGAGACGCAGGAAGGGGTGAGGCAAGTGAGCGTGAAGGAGCTGGAAGACATGCTTGGATTGGCAGAAATGTTCTCTGAAGGCTGCGGAGGAGGAGATGGGAAAAGTGTTGAAGTCAGAGTTGGTCTCCACAGTGAGGGACTTCCTGGAAATACAGATGTGCAGACAGACATTCTGGAAAGCCGAGAGAAGTCGATAACTAAAGAACAGGCAGCTAATTCTCAGTCAGGGAAAGCTGATGGTGCTGACGCCATGCAGGAGACTTCAGCAGATGCAGCAACTTCTGAGAGCAGCAGTAATGAACAGGGTGATGTGACACGTTCAGGAGCTGTCAGGTCAGACTCCGACTCCTCAGCTGAACATGAAACTGCTGAAGAGACGGACACAAACTCCACCAGCACTCTGGTCTCCATCCTCTCCACCACCTTCTCCATCTTCAAATTTCCTCTGCGTCCTGTATTCTCTACAATCACACAACTACCTGGACAGGTAGCTCTAATAGCTCTCTAATAGCTCTAATGTGTAAACATCCAAAAATATACTACACAAAATATAAATATAAACATAATTTAAACTGAGTTGCCCCTCTCACCATACTAACAGTTATCTTCTCTGTAAAGGATGTGCAGATATTAAGAGGTTCAGACTCAAAGATGTTTTCTGGGAGTATATCATACACTTCCATAGAGTCGAGTCTATATTAAGGGAAAGGTGCAATACTGGGTCCACTTTCCCATAAAGCATTACTGAGACTTCATGGATTACCTCGCCACACCCTAGTTTGTAAAAACATCATTGTTAACATCATGATTTTGTCAGACCTCTCAGATCCACATTCCAGACACGTGTGTAACACATGTGTGACAATTGTTTTCACAGACTGGCTAATGCTCCCCGAGACTCTCTAATTTCACTAGTTACAAGCAATCCTTGAGAATTAAAAGATATTATGACTTTATATTCATTAAACAGTATAATGACCTGTGGTTCTGATTAATGTTTTCAATAGGAAAATAAAACCATTACAAATCATTAGAAATAGACAATTTTTCTTTCTACATTTGAGCCTCGGGTTAATAAAACTGTCTCAAGAGTTTGTGTTATGTATTAACCTGTTATGTATTAACATATTCAGGTTCAGAGTTAAATAATAAATCATCTCATTCCAGTCTGCTCCGCCCGTAGACTGGAATGAGGTGTGGTGTACAGGTGGAGTTAATTCTAGGTGTAGTACATTGCCTCAAGGCTTTCTGTCTTTTTGTTGTTTATACTTCTTGCAGTCACACTGTGAAATCGACTCACTATTCTTATCTGCGTTCAGGTCACCTATGTTCTCCAGGAAGACCTCGGAGTTCTCTCTACCCTGCCTGGAGAGACCTTCACCCTGTTCCATCTACTGACCTCTGACCTCCTCTCCTGGATGGGCACAGCAGGAGAAATGCTGCTAGGTATTGGGGAGACCTGCTTCTGTAGTGTTTATTACTGCACCTCCTCTATGATGGGGGAACTGCTGAGCAGCTGCCACACTGGGGTCACTGGTCTGGGCACCCTAGCTGGAGACACGGTGGGGGTATTTGGTGAAGCTTTGGATAATGCTTGGTCGGTGACCAAGTTCTTTG